GGAGTGATGTAATGGTGGTAGGTTTTTATAATTGTTTATGTTGTTCTTGTACTTGATTTTATGTTTTTAATTCAAAATTAGTGTTCTTTTTTATGTTCCTATATATGCATTTTTTTATATTGTTTAAAAACATTAAAGAAAATTTAAATAAAAATCTCTTATTTTGCATGTTAAAATAATAGAAATTTTAAATGTTTTCCATAATATAATAAGTGCATATATTGAGGTGGAGAACTATGTAAGGAATCAAATACTAACTTATATATATAAAAAATTTCCTAAGCAACGGTGTTTGCTAGCTATGATCAACAAGGGAAAGATTGTTGAAACTCTAGAGCCTGATTTGTTGTTTTGATGATTTCAAAGATTATTGGACAGCTTAGTCAAAATTTTCTAAAATAGATGCATGTTAATTTTGCTATAATAACATTTACGGTATAATACATAAGAACCCAAGTCAATGGAGAGAAGTCAAATTATAAAAAATTGAGTTTAGTCAAAACTTGTAATATAAGTTTATATTTTGTTTCTTGTCTTTGTATATTTTGGTTTATGTTTGAAAGACAATCGAGCATACACTCATGAGTGCAGATTAAAATTAAAATTTTAGTTTCGTCTATGTTAAATCAGACTATACTATCATTTGTTATGAAATATAATCAAAATATTTTTTATAAAAACTATTAAAATTAAGAATTAGGATAACTATTCATATTGTACAATCATGATCAACAATGATTATCAATTATTTTGATAAATAAATGCTCCAAACTCAAAATTTCCAAAAAGTGGCAAATTAAAAATTTGAATTTTGAACTAATCGTACTAAACTATATGAATAGTAATCAACTATACCTATTTTCACCTAAGAATTAAGCAATCATATTAGTATCAAACCATGATTGATTTTCATACTATATGATTCAAATTGTACTGTACAAAAAAAAAAAAACCCCCAAAAATTTACTTGATAAACAATTGTTCATACTTGCTTATGCGTGATTTGATTTAACTATTTAACTAATCATGTGGTGTAATTTATATTATAAAGTATGATTCAATAAAGCTCAAAATTTGGGTATTTTTTAGATTTAACTAATAGAATAATACAAAGCATGATTTTCACTATATGATTAATATGTTAAAAATTAAATTTAAGGTTTTCTTTTAAATACCAGTTCTAATTTTCTTCACCAAAAATAGTGTGTGAGGAAAGGATTCACCATAAAAATTTTCTTTTGGAGAGAGATTTATTCAAGAAGGTGAGGCTATTTTCCTTATTTTTTGATAGCTTGTCCAAACAACATGGAAAAGAAAATGAGGTTGGGTGATGGTTCCATGCAGAGTCAATAGGAGACCACATGATTTTCCATGTTAGTTTTCACCTTGGTCCTCTAGGTTGTGTGTTGGGAGCTCTTGATGTAGTATTTCAGTGAAAGATTTATGACTAGCTGAGGAGTTTAAGGGATTAGCATGTCCACCATTTGGAGTAGGAGGTGAAGGAATCTTTACCATGTAGGAGAGGCAAAAGGAGCAATGCATCTTCACCATGATAGGTTGTACGTAGAAGAAGGGTGTTTAGGCTTTTTAGGAAGAGGAGCTTATATAGGCCATTTTCCAATTGAGAATGGAGAAGATCTTCTCTACCTTATTGAGTGCCAAATGAGTGTTTGCTAGTGCATTTTATAGGATGAGGAACTTAGGGAGTGGACATAAGTAAATTATCTTGAATCACCACAAAAATCCTAGCTTGCATTTTTTTTTTCATATTTTGCATTATTTATTTCCTACATTTTTCTATATTGTTTAGATCTTTGTTTCCATAGAATGTTGTTATTGCACCTAAGAAAATATTTCAAAAATGAATCTTTACACTATTTTCCTAGAAATTATAAATACTTTTATTTTAAACATTCTTTTGAATTTTACTTTAATTATTTTCATTGCTCACAAAAATAAAATAAAAACTTTTGGTACTCTCTACTTTAAAGTTTTACTATTTCTTTCAAAATTACTTTTTCTACATATTATACTTCTTTGAAATAAATTTTTACGAAACCATCCTCCCTCCCCCCTCTCCCTTTTTGGTTGTGGAAAGTAACTTTCAATTGGTATCAGAGTGAGGTCCTTATCTCTCTAGTTTAATTAGTAATGGCACAATTTAGAAATATGAACACTTTGGAAGGGTATTCCACTACCCGACGACCACTGATTTACATTTAATATACCTTTTAATTTTTAGAAAATACCATGTTAACATTTTTACATCCTATTTACTTTAGGATTTGGAACTTAGTGATGGTAGGATATTGCACACTTACATATAGAATATATAACTTAATCAATGTGGAACATCCCTTTTTTGAATGAAGTTTTGGAGGATAGAGTACTAGCCAAAGTACTTGCCCAACTGAATTCCAAATACTTGAATTTCTTTCTATGTGATTTGAAATCCAATGACTATATGTTTATTTCTAATTGCAAAAATGGTAAGGAAATTTGGGAGTTGCGTTACTTATGAAAGTACTAATGTAGTGAAACAATCATATATGAATATTTTATTACATAATCACAAACATTTTACAAGCAGACTGGTGAGACAATTTTTTATATGTAAATTAGATTTACTAAAATCATAACAATTAAAGTTCAATTTTTAATTATTATTATTTTTTTAATTTTCCAGCAGTCTTTTTCTGCTAGAAAACTGTTGGAAATATTTGCCACCAAAAAATGCCGCCGGAAATATTTTTCCTATGAGGTTTTACCAGCAGAAAATTTGCCGCCAAAAAGACGCCGATAAATTCCAAAACCCCAAGAAAAATGACCAATTTACGCCGAAAAATATCGCTGGTAATAGGTGATTTTCCTGTAGTGTGTAAAGCAAAAGGAGAGTGTTTAGCTTCCTAGTAAAGGACATGGGGAGTGGATGTAGGCCATGTCGATAGGCTGGACTATAAATCGAGATTGTATTTTTTTTAAAAAAATTTATCTCTTTTGCAACTTACAGTATATGTGATGATAATTGTATCCTCTTTCAATGCCATGAGCATGAAAAGATAAATTTTATTTTAAATATTATTTGTGCTATATATCCATAAGTTAAACTAAATGTATTACAAGAAAGAAAGGAGAAAAAAAATATCATGGCCTTTTTTTTTTTAAGTAGTTGTTCTTATATTTCGGATTGAATCATTAAAAAAAAAAAATTTATTATACTACTTGGTATTTTATTTCATAAATTTGATGTTGATTTAATTTAGCAAAAACTGAATTAATTTTAAGAAATTGATTAGACACAACAATTTACCCCCTCCTCACTGCAGCGCTCTTAAATCCCTTTAAATAAATTGTGAAGATGCATCTTTTAGAATTTTTTGAATTTTTTGATGTTCTGAATCTCTTTGCCATCTTTCAGACTATTCGATCTTGTTTTTCTATTTTCTATAGATTCCATACAATTCACTCCCTAGACACAAAGAACTCTCATTCTTCATACTCCATTGAATCACAGTCAATCCTCGAGCTTGTACACAGAGTTTACCATTTATTACACATCATCGGATCACTATTTTTTTTGTATCTGCAAAAAAATATGATTTGAAATAAGTGACATTTTCAAAATATCATCATCGAATCATCATTGCCCAATAGTCATAGTTTATTCACTATGTTTTGACAACTATCTTCAGACTACATCACCAAACCATTATCAGCTCATCATTGTCTAACTACTTTTGTCCGACCATCTACGTTTATCCATCGATCGATGCCCGACTAACATCGTTTAATCGTTGTTATTTGTTAACATTCATTCAATACTTTTTTCAGCAAGTTCTACTATAATTATATGTGGCCAAGCTTGAGTTCATTACTTTGTAATCTTATATTGTCCAATGGAGGGAACAACAATAAGTCATTTCATTTAGGTCAAGCCCTATAATTTTTTTCCCTTATGGGGTTCCCCTGTACGTACCTCCCTTTTATTTGTGTCCATAAATAAATGTCCATAATCAGTTACTTCTGTACCGTTATTCATTTATGATTTAGCAGTCCATATATAGCTTAATTTATGAATTCTTTGCCTCTTCAATTTTGCAGATTTCGAAGCCCTTCTTCATCCAAGCAGTTGCTTGAATCTCATATTCAGATCATGGTTCGAAAAATTTTAAATCCCTTCTCATGTCGGCATTCCTATAGGGGAAATTATTCTGTGCATAGTCTGAACGTAGAGAATTTTTCGGATTACTACGTATCCTATGCTAAGCTCTGCCTACGCTCTGCATATTTATTACGTGTATACTGCGTATTGTAGATACGAAGTAAATAAGAAACAAATAATTTGTTGTGAGGGTTTGCTACTTATTTGTTGCGTATCTACAAATATACAGAGTATAAGTAGAGCCTATGCAGTGCGTCCAATAATCTAGAAGATCCTCTACATTTGAATTCCGCAAGGAAAAATTTCTATTCCTACAGTCCAGTGACCGAGTTTTGTTCTCTATTTGACTTGGCAAATAAAAATAATATTCCTCATTATGGCATGCATTTGTTGAATCACATAAATTATCAATAGTCCTATTTGAAACATCTCGTTGCAAGCATACATCCCCTCGTGATTCCCCAAACAATGCCAAAGTAAAGTCTTCATCTTCACCAAAGAGAAATTTGTCCCTTTTGCTTATTGCTTGCTTGCTAACACTTCATACTTTTAGTTTCTGGAGATGCCAATTGTGGGATATCAAAAATCTGTGGCTCAGAAAAACAATTACGAAGAGCATTGGCCGCCTTCTGGGCTGCGAGGGATTGAGTGTTAGAACAAATATGCGAATACGTTTACGATTAAATTTGCTCAACCAAAAAACAAACAAAATTCTGATAATGACAATCTTATGCTGATCCTCGAAACTCGGATTACGTGAAGACAACAACCCAGCTTGTTTAGATCACTAGTGAAACACAAAGAAGCTAGCTAGCCTCAAGACAACTAATCCACTGCTGTGCCTGAATACCAAACAGCAGAAAAGCTGAATTTAAGGGTGTATATATATTCATTCTCGTGCGCTCTCCCCTCTATCCTGTGCTAGTTTGCCATTTACTTTTCGCTTAAGATGAGCCTAAGAAAAGCCGAATTCCACTCCGGCCTCCGGCCTCCTCTCGCTCCTCCGGGCGTCTTCTTCTTTCTACTTATCCTTCTCTTCTTATCAACGACGACCACCGAGGCCGGCTGTAGCTTTCCGGCCATTTTCAACTTTGGGGACTCAAATTCGGAGACCGGTGGTTTCTGGGCGGCATTTCCGGCTCAGCGAGCTCCCTTCGGAATGACATACTTCAAGAAACCAGCAGGCCGTGCTTCAGATGGAAGAGCAGTGATTGATTTCTTAGGTACTTTGTGTAAACCTAAATTTAATTCAATTTTGTTGCTTCAAATTGAAATTCCTTTTCTTCATTTTTGTTTTGTTTTGGAGAGTGTAGCTCATGCTCTGGGCCTGCCGTTTCTGAGCCCTTATCTGCAGTCCATTGGATCGAACTTCAGCCATGGCGCTAATTTTGCGACGGCGGCTTCGACGGTGCTGCTGCCCAATACCAGCGTATTTGTGACAGGGATAAGTCCCTTCTCCTTGGCGATTCAATTCAATCAAATGAATGAGCTCAGAGTGCGGGTCTTCGAAATGAGCCCGCAAGGTATGGTCTAAACTGGTTTTGCTTGAAATAAAGTAATGAAATAACAAACAAAAATTTCCCAAAAAAAAATAACAAACAAGTGATATATTAGTTGAAAATTCATTTATATTTCATCTTATCAAATTAAGATTTTGATTAATTTTAAGATGTGTAGACATCTAAGTGAATATATTTAAATCTTATTTTTAAGAAATATATAGTGAAAAAATATAACTTGTTTAGATGAACTTAAGTTGAACAATATTAAAAGCATTTGTATTTGAGGGCACTCTACTTAAATCATGTACTTTAAGTTATCGTGAAAAAACTTTTTGAGTCTATTTTGAAAGCCAAATGTTTTTCAAGTTTTACATAAAGTTAAAAAGGGCATTTCGATGTGACAAACTTGATGAGCTCAAGAAACCTTTTTTTCAAAGAAAATAATTTATTCCATCAGTAAAAGGTGAGTACAATAAACTTCCCAACCAACGCAAATTCAAATGGAGCAGTCAAGGCCAACATCTTGGCATCAGAAATCCAAAGATAAGGAAGACCATTACAAGAGGTGATTTTGAGCTCAAGAAATTCAAGCGGGGAAGAAGAACCAAACAGAGCCCCCAGAAAGAACGTGGTTTGGCCTTATGATTTTTGTGCCCTTAGCTATAGTTGATTGACTCAGACATTTGTTATGGGGACTATTTTGTACTATGGGGTATATTTATTGAACAAATTATAAGTGGAAAACTTATTAACTACTTTCAAAGATATAAGAAAACATTTATGGTACAATTTCTAAAGAGAAATAAATAATAAAATAAAATAGCATTATTTTAATTGAAAGTTATTACATAAGGAATAATATTATTTCTTAAAAAAAATAGAAATGAAATTCTACTATGGACTTAATAACAAAAATTCTTAAAGTTTTGACAATTTGGTCTTAGTTTCCAGAGATCTCCCCCTTTCACGAATGAATCAAATGAGTTCATTTTATTTTAAAGTGCATGTTCTCTTTGGAGTGCACGCCCTTATGGTTTTAATTGCATCCTGAGAGAAATTATCACTATAGGAAATTTTTAATCAGACCAATGATCGATAATATTATAATTCCTAAATTTAGTCTTGAAATCCCAAGAGGAACTGGATAAATTTTTTAATAGATTTTGATATAAAAATAAAAAAATGAAAAATAGGCGCACATGATATCTTAGAGACTCATAAATGTTCAAAACTATCCTATATTGAGCTTTCGTATTTTAATGAGATTTGATTTATTTTAGTTTGACTAGTTTATTTAAAATTTTGGCCTCATAACATTGCAACATAGTATTATGAAAAGCCTCAAAAAATAGAACACAAAATCATAACATATAAAATCAACCTAAAATTCTAGTTCAAAGGTGAGATTAATCACTAGATTAACAAAACCTCAAGCCTAGATTTAGTACAAAATATATGATTTTCCATTTGACTAAAAAAAGAACGACAATAATTTTACAATCTTATCTGAAAAGGACTACCAGTTAACACCACATAAGCACCATGATATTCCATTTGAAGCTGAACAAATCAACCAACTGAATCTGTTGTATGATTAACTTTCTTTTTTCTTCTAACCTTATGTCCTCTAACTATGTCAAGGAATCAAAAAGCTATGAAATGTCGTGTAATTCACAGAAAGAAAAAATTTTGAGCATCTTAATTGTGTTTTCTCATCTTACTATAAACCTTCAAAATAACTCTAACTGAGACTCGTTTATGCACTATCCAGACAACCTTCCTTCAACGGACATCTTTGCTAAAGCTCTATATACTTTCGACATCGGCCAAAATGATTTCACCTCCAATCTGGCAACCATAGGCATCGAAGGAGACGAGCAATTTCTTCCCCAAGTAGCCAGCCAAATTGCTTGGACTATCAAGGTAATCCAATTCAGTTTGCAAAATAAAATAAAATAAACTATTTCTCTCTCATGTTTGCTGCAAGTGTAAAATTAAGATTTCCTTAATTTACATTTCATGTAAATCAAAATTGTTATTCAGAAGTTAAGCAGAGGAAAAATATACTAAGGCTTCGTTTGGACGGTTTTTTTGTGCTTCTTAAAACAATTTTTTAGTTCAATAATTAAAATTTTTGTACTGTGAAAAGGTCGTTCCAAACGAAGAGGACTGCTTCATTGAGATAAGTACATTGTTTAAGTTATCTGGAGGAAAATATTAATCAAGTCTTGACAAACTTCTTGAATTACATAACTTATCCTTTTTTCTCATAGAAAATGAATTGTCTTAAGGCATAAAATTTTGATTTTGTTGATTTTTTTTGCTTATTTCATTACGCTTATGTGATCATTTATATACATTAGGAGCTGTACAACAATGGAGGAAGGACATTTATGGTATTTAACCTGGCACCTATAGGATGCTTTCCAGCATTCCTAACCATTCTTCCTCATAACGAGTCTGATTTGGACGAGTATGGATGCATGATTTCATACAATAATGCCGTTGTGGATTATAACAAATTGTTGAAAGAAACTCTGCAGCAGACACGATTAGAGCTCCAGAATGCCTCTGTGATATACGTGGACACCCATTCTGTTAAGCTCGAACTCTTTCAGCATCCAAAAAATCATGGTTAGCTTCACATCAATCTTTACTTACCTTGCAATCAATCAAGATATTTGAAATTTACCTTGTTTTCCAGAACATGAACAACACACTTGCAAAGCAAATTTTATAAATCCATAATATGAAATTAAGATGAATTTATTTCATCTAAAATAACATTACACAATACATTACTAGACAAAATAATACAAATCAATATTACCTATCTTCAAATTTGATGTTACTATAGACAAATTTGGTTGTAGGTAAAAAAATATTTTTTAGCAGAGAATAACTTTAATTTACATTTATTATATGTGCAAAAAAAAAAAATCAACAATTAAATTTGAGTATTTTTCTTGTCTAAATTTCATATTGTCGTCATATTTTACATCCCCCCTCCCAAAAAAAAAAAAAAAAAAAAAAGCATTATTGGCTGTATTTAAAAAAAATGAGATATATATCATTACAAAAATTGTGATATAATTTAAATGTTAATCTCTATTTATCCTTGTTATGTAAGAGAACTAATTTGGCATTTACAAAAATAAACAAATAAAAGGTCATATCGAAATTCATACAAAATCAAAAGTGATTTGTAAGCAAATCTTCTAGCTTGTTTTACTCTTATTAGTTCTGCTTAAATTATGCTTTCTAATATATGGGTTCACTTGTGTTTTTACTACTTACATAGTTCTCACACAAAAAAAATCTAAATCAGGATTTATATACGGGACCAAAGCATGCTGTGGTTCTGGTGGTGGAACTTATAATTACAATCCACAAGTGTTCTGTGGTAACACCAAGATTATCAATGGCACCATTGTGACATCAAGTGCTTGCAGTAACCCACAAAATTATGTGAGTTGGGATGGGATTCATGCCACAGAGGCCACCAATAAAATTATAGCAAGGGCCATTCTAAATGGCTCATACTTTGATCCTCCCTTTCCTCTCTCGCACCTCTGCAATCTTAAACCAATAGGTTGATAAATATATATTTGGTTTCGAGTCTCATGATATATGATGGATCTTGCAGATTTGAAGTGTGTGAAAGAACGATGAGCAATTTGGCATTTGATCAAGTTAGCTTTGTTAATAAATATGAACCTTTATTTGATAGATAAGAATGGAATGATGCTTCTTCAAATTCTTTTTATTTTATGTACATTTTTCTTCATCAAGTATATTAGAATTAGGTTGTGTGGTTTAAATTAATAGGTTGTTTGGTTTACATTTGTTAGCATTAATTATTATTAGATTCTTGTTCTTTGATTTCATGACATCATTAAATAGCACTCTCATAAATAACATTCATTTTCTAGTTTGAAGACATCTGATTTTAGTCAAATATGTTGATATCAAGATGTCAAGCCTTCTAATGGCTAGAATAAATGTTTTAAAAAAGAACATCAAAATCATTTGGATAATCTAGATGGCTTCGAATTTTTAAGATAATGTTAAATCAAATTCATCGCATTTGATAAATGACATTATTATTCATAGAAAATATTACTAAATCAAACTAGTCTAAAATAATTATTTAAGTATTTGACTTTTCTATTGTGGTTTAGATGCATATGAATATTAATCTCACAAGAAATAAGTAAAATTTGGGTTCTCAATGTACTAGTAATTGCTTTTAACTATTGATTTATGGTTTTGAAAGTGGGTGTTCATATGTAAGTGCCTTATTTTTAAACTAGGCCATAAATTGATCTCTTCCCTCGATTTAAGCTTTTGATAATGGGCATTCATATATAAGTGTGTTATGTTTAGCCTAGCCCTTAGCATTCCATCCGCATGGCAAGAGATTTCCATATTATTATGTTAAAGTCATATCACATAGCTTCTCTAGTCTATGGGATTGTTAATTATATGATCTTAAGTGAGTGTGATATTGAATAAAAATCACCTTGACCCCAAGTTGAGCGAAACCTAACTTTATGTTTGTTTGGTCCAACCATTATTTAGCTCAAACATTGCTTAATAAGTTCAATCTTAATTTGACTCAAGTTAATAAATTGATAATGCTAAGTATGATTACATTATAAAGAGGAAAAAGAACGGTTTATGATTGCATCTTAAAATGAAAGCGTACAACACACTACAATAGCAGCTACTTGGAGGCCTATGTAATTCTTACATTATTAAACTTATGTTCCTAGCACATCATAACAAAAACCAATTAACAATCTAAAAACAAAATCAAGCTCAAACAACACAGAGTGAAAAACATTTTAATTATTGTCATAGCAAGGGTTTGCCCTATTTTTATGTTATAGTCATATCATATAGCTTCTCTAGTCTATTGGATTATTAACAATATGATTTTAAGACAATTTGATCTTGGATAAAAATCATACTAAAGCTTTCAGTTTGATCCCAAGCTGAGCCAAGCCTAACATTAGGTTTTTTTTGTCCAACCATATTCAATCCAAACATTGCTTACTAAGTTAAATTTTAATTTGTCCCTAGCCAACAAATTGATTCAAAAATTTTCTAATTATTGTATTATAAAATATTTTTTGTGATAAGAGAGCTTATACACTTAGAATTTACCCCAAATTTGCTTACTGAAAATCCAAAAAAATGCAATCTAATCCAATTAAAATAATTTCCTCAATGTCAGTAAAGAATTTCAAAGAGTGCACTTTCCCTAAACTAAAGGAGGCTTCAATTTAATGCAATTAACATGAAGCATGAAATATATATCCTGTGGTTATTATAGGACTATTGATGTGATGTCCCAGAATCAAATAGTGAAAGGATTCGTGCCCTATAGAAGTCAAATCAAATCAAGTCCCGATAATTTTCTATTCGATTAAAATCACGTAGAATTAATTCCGACCGGTAAAATCTTCGTAGAATACAGTCAAATCGTGTGCAATAATCATATCTATAACATATCAAAAGTTGTGCGGTGAAAGTTGTGCCAAATCCAAATCAGAGAGGAACAGTAAGGGAACGAGGTCTCACAATTGAGGTGCTTGAGTTACCATAATATCATAGTGGGCAGTTGGCATAGTTATTTCTTGATTAGAAGGAGATCAAGCAAGTGAATGATTAGACCAACATCATACAAATTTTAGATATCAATCGGGATAGGCATCATGTTAAGATTAATAAGATACATGTAAACCCCATGAGCATATGTGACTCATGAATGTCTAGCTTAGCACTATACATAAACATCAATTAATATATAATCAATTGGCACACACAATAATGTTACAAAAAAATAAGAAAAATGTCATTAAATCTTTCATTCATGCTTTATCTTTTGTTTGCTATATATTTGTGATAGGAAAGGGAATGTGGCATATATGTATTCCTTAAAAAACTTCATGAACACTAATGCCTCACCATATAAATGGACTCAAAAAGGCACTATTCATAGTTTGTCACACATTCATAAACTTCTTATGGTTATAATTTTCAAGATCTAAACTAATTTGGGTCCCAAAATCAAAGAGTAGGTTCGTACTATAGGTATGTTTTAATGGAACACGTATAAAGGCATGTTAATTATGGTGGCATGGTTACTTTAAAAATTCTTTTGTGAAAAAGAACTTCTTTAAAAATTTTTCAATCCCACACATGATAATCGATACAACGGACACAAAAATAGTAAATTTCACAACAAAGAAATAAAATAATTTTTTCAACCACACATATAATTGCAAAAAATAAGTAGAATAAACACATCAAAATTTATAGTTGTTCGGTCAACCAGACCTACGTCCACTCCTTGGAGACTCTCTCTCCAAGTATTGCACTAAATAGTAGTTAATCTCCTTTTGCTCCCACACAAAGGCGGAGAAGTCTATATAGATGTTGTTTCACCTCTCCAATGCGGTAGAGAACCATGACTCTTTTATAGGCAGATAACCTCAACTCTATTTTCACTCTCTTGGTGATGGTCAGATAACCTCTACTCTATTTAAACCCTCATAGTGATTCATAGAACCACAACACTATTTTCACCATCCTAGTGATGGTCAGAGAACCACTATCTTTGCTAAAGAACTTCTTCTTCGGAGCCACTGAGGATTCAGGCAGACGCTTGTAGATACTGAGCAAGATTCTTGGTTGGAGCAACCAAGATTTAGGCAGATGCTTGTATTTTCACCATCCTAGTGATGGTCAGAGAACCACTATCTTTAAAAAATGTTTCTCTCTTCTCTCACAAAGCTCTCCTTCTTTTATCCTTCAAAGCTCTCTCTCATGAAGTCTCAATAGTCAAAGATTTTCTGTTAGGAGTATTATAAAACCTTAAGTAGTTGGCTTCAAGAATTTCTAATTTTCAAGATATCCATTTTTTGTTCGTACAACATGATACACATTCGTACAATACAATAAGTGTAATTCAGACTCATCTAACAAGACCGTTCAGATGAATGGTTCAACTTTTATAACATTTTGTACAATAAAATCATAACATCATACAAAACGAACTGTAGAAATTCCTTCTATTAATTTGGGATGATCCTTAGGACGGACAACTTCGTACAATGTCGATCGTACATGACTGTGGACATCGTACAACAAGATAAGTGTAAAAATCATGGATTTCATTTGGTATGATCTTTAGGACGAAGGATTCAAATTCTAGAGTTTGCACACCTAGCATAACAGCTCCACATGCTAAAATCTTTTATTAAAACAAAAATCTAATTCAAGGATTAAAATTAGACAGGAAAACTTAAAACTTTTCAGGCTGCTAGCATAAAATATATTGAATAGAATATTACTGTAAAAATAATGAATGAAGAATCAAGATTTTACAAAATCATTTATAAAACATATTCTGAAACACAAGAATTTTCTAGGATTTAAAGATTTATCAGAAAAAAAGACTAATTTAAGTTGGACTCATTTTGTGTCTCTTTTATTATCTTTTGGTATACATTGCACATCTTCTATTTTTGATACACTTAGTGCATCTTTTTATTTTTAGCATCATTGCGCATCTTTTGATTTTTAGCATCACTGCGCATCTTTTGATTTTAGGCTTCTTTTGATTATTTTTGCAAATTGCTCCCTTTCTAAATCTTTAAGAATATCAGTTGTAGAGATTATCTTTCAAATATAAGAAAAGAGTAACTAACTCTCTTATATAGGGTGGAATAATCTACAAAGCAAACTCGGTATTTCTAATATGAATAAATAACCTGGTTTATGAAAAATAATGAATCTTGTTTATCAAATTGCAGAATATATTCATGATATTAAAAAAATGCAGTAGAATGAAAATGTTTTCATTTCAACCATCTCTACTCTTATTTGATTTAGATTTCAAATTCACATAATGAATTATCATGCCAAGGAAATAAGAAAGGGATATGAAAATTCATAAGATTCATCTATCCTTCGAGTTTTAACAATGCTAGCAATTACTTATTGAACTTTTAAGTCGGAATAGAAATATGTTTATTACAAACATCAAAGAGCATTTAAGAGAGTTCATTCGTACAATGTGATACAAGTCGTACAGTACAAGTTAAATCATACAATATGATACAAGCCGTACAATGCGATCAATAGAAATACATTTTCCTTTGACTATAGATTTGTAAAGTAAATAGCACATAAAAGAGATCTAAGAGCACAAAACCAACTAGAAAGAAAAAGAAAAACCCTTTGATATATATATTCTAAAAATATTTGACTATGAGTTACTATGATACCCAAGAGAAAGGATAAATTTGGTGCAAGGTAAAAATAAAAAAAATTAATCAAATAGGGGTGCAAGGTAAAAATAAAATGAAAATACTAAATAGGCACACTATTTTCATATGGTTTGGCGAATCCTTAAATCACCCAAAGTCTATTATAATAATCAAACACCATGCTCTACAACAATGGGTGAGTATAAACTAAAAATTTTAAGTATAATGAAAAGAAGAATATAATAAATTTTCTTTTTTTCTTTTAACTTTTTTAAAATAAATTTTGCTCATCAATGACCTAGATTTACAATAAAAAAGCAAATTTAAAATTTCAACGCAATAAGTTCTTAAATTTTTTGAAAATAATGCTTCAAAAGTAAACATAAAATATTGCAATGTAATGATGATTAAAACTTTCCGATTACTTAAAAGGAAACAAAGAGGAGTATTATTGCTTGAATACTTGAATCAACATGTAGATAAGCATAATTTTTTTTATTCAAACCATCAATTTTTATAATGCTGACATTGATTTCAAAATATGTCATAAATGAGAATTAAATCACTTTTGTGTTCTACTAACAATGAAAGAAAAGTGATGATTCAAAAATTACTTAAGGTAAATACATGAAATGTATTGTACGGTTGTACGGCTCAAATCGACATATACAATAAGCATTAAAAAAATTTAATTTAAGATAATCAATATTTGCGTAACTAATCATACTATTTGTTCAATATCGTACTGAAAGATCAATTATTTCACATCAAAGTTGTCAATTTTATGATATTTCTAAAATAAACAAATTTAAAATTGAATAAATCATAATAACCAAACCTTTTGTATAGCATGATATTTATGATCATTATTATAATTTACCTATTTTGGAGCCTGAAATTAAGTAATCAAATTAGATAAAATTTTGTACAACAACATCCTAACAGTATAGTCCAAATAAACATAGAGTTTGTTTTGACAAACCTCATTCAGAAAAGATTGTCTAATCCTCTGAGTTGGCAACTTGAACATACCATATTGCTTGATCCATTCATTGTATTGCATGATTAGAACTAAAAAATTGCTTTTTCGGTCTGTTAGGATTTGTTTTACAGTTATAATATGGAACTTAACTTTAGAGAGAAACCAAGAGAGAGACCATAGATTCATTAGAAAGTTCTGCAGACAGAGGGAGACCTTCATACAATAGTTTGATAGTGTGGGAGAGAGAGAGATAGTAGAGAATGTAAGGGATTTTTTAAAAGAGTTTTTAAGAGATCTTTGTGTGAGAGCTCTACAAAGTTTCTTATCTCAATTTATATCCTTATTTCTCAGATTGTTGTGTGTGAGAGTTCATTGGAGAAAGAGCTTTGGAGTGTCTTTGTGTGGAGAGACTCTGTCTTACTAAGGAAGCTAGGGGTTGTAGGCATCTCTGCCCTGTTGGTGCAAAAGCAAGGGAAAATTCTTGGTAGATAAATTATTTTTCACCCATCCAACATATTATATGTTGATAATATTTTGATCTTTGGTAAAGCTACAAAGGAAAACATGCAAACCTTGCATCAAATTCTTAAACACTTCTATTACATATCTTGACTTTACACAATTTCTTCTAAAAGTTCCAGTATCCTTTTCCAAGGATTTGTAGTCATTATGACTACCACTCAATCACTCTGAACCAATACAATTATTTACTAGCATTAGATCCCCCATCTCTATTAGAATATTTCATATATCTGACATTTGCATTCTGCTCTATAAAAAAGATGACTCGAAAGCATAAAGTCTATCTTATACTTATCATCTTCAGTTCCTCGAATTCACTATTTGGAATACACCTCTTCTACCTCCCCCCCACCCCACATTAAAAAAAAAAAAAGAAAGAAAAAAAAAGAAAGAAAGAAAGAGGCAGTACCAAAATACAGATCAAAACATATTATAAAACTCTGACATAGGAAAACAAAGCGAGAATGCTCCTATACCTTATATGTTTCTTCCATTCTCACAGTAATGCTTTTATATCTCTGAAGATTTCAATTTCATATGCCATGAGTTGCTATGATAAGGCCTTCAAATGAAACATTAATACACCAATAGGTCTCAATAAGAACAATATCCCTGAGAAAATCAGAAGTCCATAACCGTTGAGGTAAGATTGAGCAGAGGTTCCAAAGCGCTAGGAGCAAACTTTCTAGCAAAGAGATAACAGATAGAAGTTGGCTCATTGTTGTACTTGCAGATTTCTCCACTGTTCCTGATGGATTTGATAAAACTCTCAGTGATACTCTCTCTTCCATATGTTGCTGGATGAGGGCCTAGCCTCGACCAATCGACCCAAGTTACAGTCCGGTTCGCATTGAGAGCCCCATGGAACATGTTCAAGTATGTTGGAATATAGTGCTCATCAGGATAGCAGCTAGGCCTGCAAAGCTTTTGAAAGATCCTGTAATACTTGTAATCTGCCACGATATCGATGGCTAGCTCACGATTGAGCTCGAACCACTCCGACCCTTTCCTCCATTGGCTGAGCTCAATAGTAGGATGCATTTTTGTGTTATAACGACCACGGCCGCGAGGTGACTCATCATCATAGGATTGAACAAAGCTGTGGGCAGAGTTGATAAGGTAATCGTAAACTGTGGGGAAGTTAAAAACAGGAATGCAACTCTCAGATAGTAGCACGAAACGCTCATTTGAGAAATCTAGCAGGGCATTTGCGAGAAGACGCTTTTCAGCTTCTAACAAAGTCACTGACCCCCACTGGACCTCCTGCATTTATATTAACAAATTATAACTAACCGATACAACAACAACAACATCAAGCCTTTATCCCACTACTTGCGGTCGGCTACATGAATCATTTTCCTTCATTGTGTCCTATTGAAAGTCAAATTCTCGTTTAAATCTAATAAAGAAAGATTATTTCTAATATTTTCTTAACCAAGTCTTTTTAGTTCTGCCTCTACACATTATAAGTAATCGATAACAAAAGCAATTTCAGTAGTACGGAAGTAGGAAAAAAATGTTCTACTGATCATAAGATTCATTCCAACAATAATCCAACAAAAACAGAAGTTACCGATAATTAAGCTATGATAGATCAGTTGGCTAATAAGAAGAGACAAGTTATTTAACTAATGTAATGTGTCCTCAAAATTTGAAATGACTGTATATTGGGTAATTTAAGATGATCGAATTTTGGGTAATTTAAGATGATTAAATTTTGGAATGAATTTAAGTTTGGATCAGAAACAACTGAAACAAGTCAAATTAGACTGTCTTCTATGATTTAGGATAGAAAAAAAGTGTAGCCGTTAATTTTCTCTCACTAGTTTACTTCAAACGGTCATAAAACACAAGAAAAATTTTCCTCGAGCTATAATCAACAAAATTTGTGATAACCAACATTCCATGCATATGTGAAATTCATATTTTGCGATGATTGTTCCTATTTCAATAGGAACAACGGAAATATCATAAGATTAATTGGTATTATGAATTAAGGCTTAGTGGCTTAAAATTTTCATTATAATGAATTAGAAAGTACCAGTAAACGCTTCATGAATTTTTAATCCAGTTCAAAATTAGAATATAAAATGCTAAAAAGCAACTACAAATAGCAGAAGAACTTGCATGAAGCTAATGATAGTGTACCTCACTAGGGATTTGCCGTTGATAGAAAGATGAATTCTTGGGGACATTGATCTGGTAATCCGGAAGAGCATGCACATAAACTGAGAACAACCCTTCATGCCCTTTGAAAAACACATCCCATAAGGAAGAGAACGGCAAAGGTCCCCTTGTCAGGAACATGAAAGCGACCTTAGGAACCCTCTTGAATGGATACTCTTGAACCTTGGGTAGCAGTGTCGCCCTCCAAAAAAGTTCATCATCTGTCATCTTATGCATCAAATGGATTGGCTTAACAAAGTATTTTAGGATCATAGTTTCTCGTTCACAATCAGCAGAGTAAATTTTCTCAGGGAAGAAGAGTTCGGTGTGGGATGTGAAGTACCAATTGAACTGGGCTCTCATTGCCATGCCCAAAACTGTTCCAGCCATGAACAGAACCAATCCGCAGGCCAGCTTCATGAAGCCGTACGGAAGATCCTTCCTTGGGGTTGGAGGGAAGAAATCAACCATGTTCTCATTAGCTCTAGCCTTTACAATCGGCTTCATATTCATTCAGAATAACCCTAAACCAGCTATCACTCACCCCGGCCTTCAGGAAAAGCAATTAAACTACAATCCAGACTAAAAATATAGGGTTCCTGGTTTTAATCCCGCTTCCAAGGTAAAAAAACTCCTTATGAATCCAATTACTGTTACAGCACAGCGTATGAACAAATCCAAACTATTAAAAATCTTAAAAATTCCTGAGAAAAGTCTAATCTCACGCTTTAAGCGATAAAAGAGATACAGAAAGGCAAGCAAGTACGACGATCCTTTGAAACCCGGACATGATCAAGGCGAACTTAAAGAAGCAACTCCAACCTGCAAACAACTGTGGAACATAGAGAACCCCAAACCCTGTGCACGATTAACTGGATGAGGCGCTACTTCCAAAAGTTCCTCTGCGATTTCGGAGATGACTTAGGGCTTGCCCAGTTTTTCTTGGATTGGTTCAACGATGAAGGTAGGAACGAAATTGAGAAGATGAAAATAAACGCGTGATTATGGAACTGTCCGTCCTTTTTGTCTCCAACTCTCCTTTGACTCTAACTCGTTGCCGCAATTTGCCGAAGTCTTGTGTTCTCGTTGCTTATCTCCTGAGATATATAAAGGTTCAGCACTACTGAGATGAGACCAGAAATAACCTTCCGAAATAAATCTTGACGTGTTCACTGGATCTGCAGCGAGGAAAAGGGTGAAAGCAGGTTGAAGATATTATCTAAATTTTGAGAAAAAATAACACAAGTGGCAGGTTAGAAGACGGAGTCATATTTCAATCAACAGTTACGTGTAGACCTGTTAATATTGAACCCGATCCAAAAATCCGACCCGAACTTGACCCAAAAATTTCGAGTTGACTCAGAAACTTGACATAACCCCGAATGACCCGGAATGACCAGCATGCTCACCTACCCCGGCTGCCCACGTGCATCGAACCCGAACGCGCGTGGCCTGTGGCCACCACCCCGCCAGCTTGCCGCTGCCCCGCAGCTTGCCCGCTTCCCCCCGCACCCCGTTGCCCTGCTGCTGCGTGCAACCGCGTGGTCCGCATTTGCCCAAACGCCCGTGACACGTGACGTGCTGCCCGCCTGCCCGAACGCACGGACCAGTACCTGCCCGAACGCTCGTGACCGAACCCGCGCGCGGAATTTTTGAATGGAGGCATGGGATTTGGCTGAAACAGGTTGGGTCGGGTTGACTCGAACCCGAAGCAGGTCGGGTCAAGAAAACCGGCCTGTTTGTAAAAACGGGTCGGATTAGGGTTGACCGATTAATGCCGGGTCAGTTTCGGGTTCAACCCGAACCTGACTCGTAACCCGAAATTGACACTCCTAATTACGTGTGGATCCAACCAATGAATAGACCGAGGCCGCCCTACAAATGGCGAATGATCTTGGTCGTTAAAACTTAATATAACTTTTAAAATTAACGTTACAATCTGCAAATGAAAATATTAAAAGTAGAACGCGAAGCACCAACTTGTAATAAATAGAATTAAATATATCATAAAAATTGATAAAGTATAATTAACATATATTCTCTCAGGAGTTCAGCAGATAGTCTGTATGTTGAACCCAAATTTATTTGAGGGATGATACCCGATTTTAATAGCAGAGCTGCCTAATGAACTTGAGAGGTTATTGATGAGAATACATAGTAAAGAACATAGAATAGAGAAGAATATGTTAGTAAAATCTTCACTATTTCAATCAAGAACATAATAATAAACATGGAGTCCAAAAGGTCCCATAACATCTCTCCCAAAAGTCTTCCAAGCTATTCATCTCTACCTTTTATTTATATGATTTATATGAGTACGAGGAAAGAAGATAATGTTGATCTTGCTCATAGCAAAGTGAAGAATTATACATCCTCTAACCAGAAGAATAAATTTTAAAAGGAAGATAATAGATTTGGCCCTATTAAAGATAGGCTGAGAGGTAGAAGAGGTGACGGAAGCATGGATAGTACTGGGGGCTATTCCCCATCAGTCTCCTAATGTCTTCGTAATTTTTTTAGAATTGTAGGGGAGCCAAGAAAAAAGAGGCTTCCCATTACTTGAGAAGTGTTGTGGTTGATAATGGAGTTTTCTTTATTGGACTTATGGAAGCTAAATTAAATTCAATGGATGCAATGAGGTTAAAAGAATTATTGGTAGTGATTGAGATTACTTTCATGTTGATGTTAAATGGACTTTAGGTGGTATTATTTCAATGTGGAGAAGCAAGATTTCTTCTTTTTCCATCATTAACTCGTTCAATCAATGTATAATTGGTTGTTTGAAAGCACCTAATGGTTTCTGTGGGATTGTAGCGATTGTATATGATAATAAGAATAAGTATGAGAGAAGAAAGTTGAGGGAGTTGATTGAGAGGTATACTTCTACTGACAAGCTATGTATTATAGATGGTAATTTCAATAGCGTTTTTTCCAAGGAAGATAAAAAAAAAGGCGAAAAGAGACTATCCTTCTCTTTAGGGCCTCGAGAAATGAAGGATTTCTTATCTAGAAATGATTACCATGATATTGGTTATGTTTGGCCCAAATATATGTGGTGCAACAATTAAGATGGTCTTTCTCGTATTTGGGAAGGATTAGATATAATTTGTCTTAATTACAAGGCTTTAAGTCAGATTTCTTGTGCAGTTGCATGGAGTTTCTTCTAACCATTGTCCTCTTCTTATTAATCTTATTAAGTCTGTTGCTTTCACTCAAACAACTTTCATATTTGAGAATGTGTGGTGTTCATATGAAGCATCATGGGGGGGTGGTAAAAAATGCTAGGAGTAAACATGATTATGGAGAAGCTTCAGAAATTCCTCAAAGAAAGACAAGGAGGTCTCTTAAAAACTTATTTTTTTGGAGCAAGAATAAACTTAAAGAACTGAATGTTTCAAAAGAAGTGTTGCTAAAGAAGATATTGTCCTTACAAGAAGATGAGAGTCTTTTTGGGTTGAACTTGGTGAAGCTGTTGGAACTTAGAAAGAAAATTCATGAGCTGAATGTTACTCTTGCAAGACTCTATACTTGGTGGAAATAACATTCAGAAGTGCATTAGGTGGTGGAGGGAGATCGGAATTCTCATTTCTTTCATGTATATGCTTTACCGAGGAGGAATGACAATATGATTAATCAACTGATTGATGCGGATGATAGCTTGGTTACTGACTCGGAAGCTATTCATTCATCTGTCGAGAGTTCATTCATCTGTTGAGAGTTTTTTATGAGTAAATAGAGGCGTAGGCTATGTTCCTATTCCACTTGGCCTAAGTTCAGTTCTGAAATGATGTTAGATGATGTTAAAAAAGATGTGATAAATGCATTTTTTATGAAGCAAGAGTTGTTTTCCATAGTTATGAAGATAAACAACAACAAATCTCCGGGTAATGATGGTGTCAATTCATATTTCTTCAAAAAATTTTGAAACATTAACAATGTAAAATTATGGAATGATGTGGAGAATTTACTTTTAACTGACGAAATGTTGGATGTTTGGAAAGAAACGATGGTGATTTTGATCCTTAAAGTTCATAATGCGGCTGAAGTGAATAAGTTTAGACCCATTAACTTATGCCAAACTATCTACAAAATGGTGGCGGGTATGATGTTAAATAGATTAAAGATATGCCTACCTAAAATTATTTTTGATCATCAAGATGCTTTTGTTCCTGGTAGAACAATTTTAGATATAATTGCTTATTGGCTCATGAGTTAGTCAACAAAATGAGATTCTCTAAGGCCAAGCCGAGGTTTATGTTGCTCAAATTGGATATGGAACAAGCGTATGATAGTATGAGTTGGGAAACAATTTATAAGATCCTTATTGAATTGGAATTCACAATGAAGTTCATAAATCTTATCATTCAATATGTTAGCAACCCAAAATTTTGCATTTTTATTAATGAGAAAAGAGGTAAATGGATAGATGTTGAATTCGGGTTTAGACAAGAATGCACGTTATCTCCAAGTATTTTCATTCTATGTTCAGAGTTAATTTAAAAAGCTTTTGGTCAAAGAGGCAGTAAGCTTGGTATAAAGCAGATTTCTCCAAATACTCCTAAGGTTACGCACATGTTGTTTGTGAATGATGTGATGGTTGCGACTGAAGCTAACCGGCATAAGGCAAAGAGGATTCTTAGAATTCTTGGAGATTATTATAACTAGACTGGTCAGAGGATTAACAAAGAAAAATCTATGGTTTTATATGGCAAAGTTGTATCATGTGGAAGAAGAAGGAAATTAAGTAAAATTCTTTGTTATAGAGCTGTGGATGAATTTAATTACCTTGGTGTTAAGTTGGCACTTAGAAGACTTAAAGCTGCTAATTTCAACTTCATTTTTAAAAAGGCAATGGACAATCTTAATTCTTGGGGGTCTTTGTTATTGCCTTTGGCAGGGAAAATTTTGTTGATCAAAACTATTTATTCTTCATTTCCTTCATTATGTATGACTCACTTTTTGGTTCCAAAGAACATTCTTAATGAGTTGGATAAGTTATGTAGGAATTTTCCGTGGCAAAAAGATCAAGGAAAGGGTTGCATTGTGTTGCGTGGGATCTAATGTGTACATTTATTAATCATAGAGGTCTTGGGATTCAAGGTGCTTTGGATAGACAAGAGCTTTTAAGAGCTCGTATTACTTGGAACTTCATTAATAATTAGAATAGGCTCTTTAGCAAGATCATGGTAGCAAAATATGGAGTTGATATCTGGAATAATGAAGCTAGAAGATATTCCTCTCCAGCTTGGTGCATTATTAAAGATGGAGCTCGGTTCTTAGAGCATATTACTAGGTGGAAAGTTTTGAATGGGGTTAGTATTAATATTTTAAGTGATAGCTGGATTCTTGATAGAAATTTAAATTAGTGGCCAACTTTGTGTAATATTAAGGAGTTGGAAAACAAAAAAGTCTCTTTTATACTAGATGTTGAAGAGAACTGGAGCAATACTCTAATACATAACCTATTTTCTGAAGGATTGGTTAATATCATTTTTGAAATCCCAATTTGTGCTGATCTTGGAATAGATATGATGGAATTGTTGGAATGCAACCCAGGGAATTTAATAACTGTTCTATCTTTTAAGTCATCTTTTGAGCGACAAACTGAAGGTAAACCTATAAAATGGATTAGGAAGCTAAATATAACTCCTAAAGAAACTTTTTTTTCGGGTGGCGTTTGATTAATAATTCTTTTCCAACTCAAACTTGGTTACAATATAGAAGACTTTCAGACTCTTGTTTGTGTCCAAGAGGCTATCTAGAACTGAAAGATAGTAATCATATTGTTGTTCATTGTATAAAGATTATTGAGATTTTTGAAACGTTAAATAAGTGGGGTATCTACTTACCTAAGTTTAATAAGTTTTTCCATTATTTAAATAAATTGAAAGAGATGGTAGTGACTAATCCAATAGTTGTTAGATTATATTAGCCGCTGATTAAATGAATTGGAAAGCTAGGCATTATTTTACTCATGGAATCTATTGTCGTAGTTCAGTTTCTATTGCTGCTCAGGTTTTGTCTGATTTTGTTCATTCGTTTGTTCTTCCAATCAGTAATAACTAGGAAACTAACCGGCATTCAATGCTGTCAAAAAAATTGGTTTTGGATTAAGCTTAATGTTGATGCTTCTTTGTTGCATTCTAATGAAGGAAGTATAGCAAGAGTTTTAAGAGACCATAAAGACAGATTTTTACTTGCGTATGGAAGGAAGTTAATGCATTGGGATGTATCGATTTTGGAGCTTATCGTAGTTTTCGACTTCAGAGAAATTATCAAAGAGTGGATGAAAGAGAAGTAAGGTATCATTATTGAAGGGGATAATATCAATGTGGTCAAACTGTTGCAAAAATTAGAGGTGAAGAACAATCAGAGGAATAGAGTTCATAGTTTGGATTTTTCTTTTCTTGATGTTTTTAAGAATGTAAATTTTTATTTTGTTTCTAGGGAGAGCAATAAGGTGGCAGATGCTTGTGCTCACTTTGAGTAAGGGGGAATTTTTATTTGGAAAATTTTCTGGTTGGAGAACTTCCGTCAAGCGTTTTTGACTTGATCAGGAAGGATTGTGATAGATTAGCTATCACTTAGTCTTTTGTATCTTTCTTCTTTTGTGCTTTAATGCTAATTGCATTTCTTAAAAAAAAAAAAAAAAAAGAGAGAAAAGGCTACATAGAGAAAAACAAAAATATGGGTTATACAAAAAATTATTCGTACAATGCTACACACTAATCTTATTACAAGAGGATGATATCAACGATTTAACAAGTTCAAGAGGAGCGAGTAGGTGTGGGAAAAGTTATGAGAGGAGGCAGATCTGTAGTTACTTAGTTAGTCATTTTATGAGGTTGAAAAGTTACATAGGAAGATTAGTGTCGCCCTATTAAAAGGCTAGTTGAGGTGCATGTTAGTGGGGATGATGAGTTATTTGTGAAATATTGTTTATGTGTTATATACTTACTTGATGCCACATTTGTATTATGTGTTATTTGGTTATATTTTATAGACTTAGTTGATGCCACATTTAGATGCTTTGATTAGTTTGATATGAAAATGGAATTTAGAGTGAAAGTATTAGAGAAAAATTTCTCTTTTATTTTATAATTTTAATAATATAATTATTTATTATATCTTCCAGTTCGACCCACCGAACCGTGAACCTCTCCTTTCGATTCGTTGTCTGGTCTGATTTTCAAAACCTTGATTCACAATAGAAAGATTACAACTAAAAAAATTAATTATATCATCACTAAGCAATGATGGAAAATTTGAAGAAATCTCAATTTGTGATATTTGTATACAGTATTATTTTATGAAAGATTAACAACAATAATAAAATTATTTGAGGTGACAGAGTCTTCTTACCTTAAGCTTCACATGATTTAAGGAAATTATGTGTTTAAAAAGTGATCAAAATTAAAATTCAAAGATTTTTTTTTAACGCAATTATTTATAATTTCTATAAAAAAAATAGTAATCCACAGAAGAAATAAATGGCCAATTATGATTATCATTAGCATTAAAAATATTTAAGTTTAAATAATATATTATGACCAATAGTTTTGAAATTCAAATCATGGATAAGCTGTCAAAAGCCAACAAAAGGCTAACAGTAATCCTTCAACTTTGACAAAGCCAATTTTATCTAAAGAAATATCTTTAAGAAGCAGAGTAGCTAACCTTTTTATAAGATCCGTTAAAGATAGAATCCTCTATCTAGATATTTTGAAAGCAAAAATGAGGAATGCCATTGCCTTTTGTATGCTTTCTACTAAATAGCATAAGAGGATGATAAGAAATAGTCATGCTGATATGTTCAATGAATGTTAAAGGAAAGAGTTCGATGTAATTGCTATTTAAGGGAATTTGGTTTAATTTCATTCAAAGCCTATATTTTGACCACATAAACGAAGATAAAAAAAAAAAAGTTGGAATATTAGGCTACTCATAAGGCATCAAAATTAGGCTACTCAGATCAGAAGAACAAAAACCGCAATGCCAATGTTAGGCTGTTCATAAGATATCAATATTTAAGATATCAACCAAGCCATGACACTGACATGACTCATTCTGGTTGGTCTCCGGATGGCGTTCAACATCCACACAGAATAATTTCTCCCAATTAACGAGCACTTAATCATGGGTGCCAACCTTTCTCAAGGAGGGGGATATTTGAAAGTGGCAAAGAGATAGTCATTCAAAATAATTGATTATCCTTTAACCCAAAGCTGAAAATGAGACATCGAAATCTGCTCCTGTGAAAAGGAAAAATCTAAAGATAACCAGTCCTGATGAATTGCTCTATAAAGATAACCACTTCGGCTGTTGCCATCTCTAATTCGAATCTCCATCCACCTAAAGGGGCCAATGCAGATGGAAGTGCAAGCATCTGGTGCTCCTAATTCCTTAAAGTGGCATTGAATGATTCTGGAGATCATCTGTACATGTGTGGACTTCCTATCAGTGCAGCTATTATTGACATAGCAAATTCTGCACAAAGCACACAAGATGTTTGTCATAATGCCCCGCAGCCGAGCAAGGCATTTTTGGACAGTTTTTTCAACCAGCAAGCAGCTCCAGGCTGCTCTCGACCTAGAAGTGAACTACCCTATGGGGCTGTTTGGTATACGGATTTAGGCCGGATTCAGGCGAAATCCAGCCAAACGGCCTAAAATGCAAATCCAAATCTCACGGTAAATGGAATCCGCGGTTGATGGAAAAAGACCACCTTTTGCGGTAAATCCCGGATTTCGCAAATCCACCGATTCGGCGGATTTAACTTCTTATTCGAGCGAGAGGATTTAAGGCTGGATTTGATGAATGTTAATTCTTTTAACTGCCTTAAATCTTGACTTGCATAGCCAAACAGTCACATAGGATTTAACTGAATTTATCATGAATGTTACCATATAGTTTTCCGGATTTAACCCCCAGGATTTCGTAAATCCGGATTTTGAGGATTTACGAAATCCTACTTAAATTAAATCCTAGATTCTACCAAACAGCCTCTATGGGTCTCTCGCATAGAATAAACTGTGTTTCGTTCCATTGGAGAAGCTTTGTATTGAAGAAATTATTGCTGAGGATGGCATTTCCATGAAGCTCAAAATGGAGTATGTCCAAGAAAATGTAGCTCGACTTCAAAAAGCTCTGGTTGGCAAACTCATTCTCAAACGGCTGCCCCATGGTTTTATACTGGGAAGACATTGTTATAATTTCCATACATATTTATACTCTTTTGTATATTTTCTTTTTAATTAATGTAAAATACAAACTTCAAAAAATAAAAATAAAAAAAGACCGAATCCGAATAGACAATAAATTTAAGTTGATTCATTTCAAGCATCATTTATAAAGTTATTATTCTAGCAACTATACAAAATTACCGCTCCAAAAGAGGATTCCTTCATCTGAAGAACCCAAAATTAACAGCAGATTGAGGATGAACACCCCACATGCCATCACCCATACTTCAGGAGAATCCTCTCAAGCAATAAAGCGGAAGAATTATGTTGTTGCATTCCCTCCCATTCTCCACCAGTTAGCTTATATAATCCACATTATAAACTGTACGAGTCATTCCAAACCGAGAAGACTGGACCCCCATGGCAAGCTGAAGCCACATTCCCCGCCCTTGATGCCATCGTCGCCTGAGCCGAAAGCCCCCATCCACTAAAGCCGCCGCCGCTCAGCTCATGTCCATTGGCCGCCTTCACCATGCCCGCCGGTAGCTGCTCATAGCTATTATAAGTACAAGTCCCCATATAGTTCTCAATCTCCATCTGCTTTCCATGCTCATCTCCAAAACAACCACTCCCTTCGTTAATACTCACAGGCAACATGAATCCGCCGCAGTCAACCGAGTTCGAAGCTGTGCTGTGCTCCAACGAAGCAGAGCCAAAGTCCTGCATGCTCAGAAAGCTGTTCATTGCGGCCGTCGGCGGGAAGAAGTCGTGGGTGTTTAGATGATGAAGGTCCTGCATGCTGTGGGTGGCAGTAGAAGCAGCGGGGACGAATGGGTCTTGCTCTTGCTTGCACCATCCTTTTTGCAGTGCGAAAGGGTAACAAATGCTCAGGGGGTTTGGCTGCGGCTGCTGAAAGGAGATTGAGGGCCAGCCGATTCCGGCTGAGGCGGCGGAAATTGTGCCGGAGTAGTGAGAGGCAAGGCTTTTGATGGCGCATACCGGCCTGCGGCCGTTGATGGTGGAGGCAGAGTGGTCGGAAGCCTCCTTGAGGCGTTTTGCGACGCCGCCGATGGGTAGATTGCTGCTCTCTAGAATGCTCTTGACATCGTAGCGGCTCATGTCGAAGTTGGTCACGGCGTTCAGGCCGCGGAATTTGATGGCGGCGATGTCGTAGGCCTCCGCCGCATCTTCCTGTGTGCCTGATGCAGTGTTAAGCATAGTTAAATTTGATAAGTTATAATAATAATAATATTTGAGTAAGATTTAATAGAATTATATCCAATAATGAGTGGCTCTTTTCTTTTCCTATTATCTCTATAGAAAATCTTAGTAGAACTATTTGTGATCGTGTTTCTTTGTTATCTCAAATTTAGCTTGCTAATTTTAATGTCTATTATCTTTTTTTTTTTTTCAAAATACATAGTTTGAAGCTCTTGATTTTTCAAGGTGGTCAAGAAGAATTGGATGACACCTTTACCTTATTTTGATGGTAATAATGATATAGTTTTTTGGCTTTAAAATAAAAAAGAGACAACTAGGCTCTTAGATGGTGGAGCAAAAATATTTTTAATAATATTTTAAAAGCTAAAGAGGGGTCATAAACATGGAAACAAATTATAATGTTAACTCTTCTATAGATAATAGGAATCAAGTGTGTAATGTGAAATCTAATCTTATTAAATTGTAGAATTATGAGGAAACATATTAGATGCAAAAAGCTATGTTTAAGCATCTCATTTATGGAGAGAGAACACTAAGTAGTTCCATGTTATTGTAAATAAAAAATAGAAATTTTATTAGCTAGAAAAATTAAAATGGATACAATGGTTTAGAGTGATGACCAGGATTACAAGATATTATAGGAGAATCAATTATCTCTTATTTTACTAATTTACTTTGAAGAGAGAAGATGGTTGAACCAATATCATTTTCCAGGCTTACTCCTTCCCTTATCTCATATGAGGATAATGTCAATCTCTTAAAATGTCAGGATGAGCTTAAAATTTTTACGTATATGATAAATATGCATAGTGATTCTGTTGTTGGGCATGATTGTTTTATAATTTTGTTTTTTCAAAAAAGTTGGCGATTTATTAGATAAGATCTTTGTGAAGTTATCTTGGCCTTATTTATTAATTATAGAATTCCTAATTTTCCTTTTTCAAATTCTACTATCATTCTAGTACCTAAAATTGACAATCTTGAGTATTGCAATTATTTTAGACTCATTAGTCTTTGCACTATTTTTCACAAGCTTATTTCTGAGATTTTGGCTCCTAGATTTGCCCTTATCTATCCTACGATTATTTCTATGAATCAGATTGACTTGGTTATAGGGACAAGTATATTTGACAATGTCATATATGCTCAAAAGTTAATCTATGATATCCACAAAAAAAGATTTATGGGCATAATTTAATTTTTAAATTAGATAGTTCTAAAGCTTATGATAGTAATAATTGGACTTTTATTTTAAATATGCTTCATCTTTGTATATTTAATTATAAATTCAAATTAATAAAGAACTTTATTGAAAATGCTTGATTTTCTATTATTATAAATGATAAATCTAAAGGTTTTTTTTTTTCAAAGCTACTTAGGGTGTTCTATAGGGGACCCACTATCCCTCGCTTTATACATTATTATTATAGATTATTTATCTAGAGGTCTATTGTATCACTATTCATTTTATAAAAGTATTGCTCATAGAAATATAGGTGGCTTAAATATTTCTCATATCTACTTTGTAAATGACATTATTCTATTTTACAAATGGTACTTTAAGTAGCATTAAAAAAATTAAAATATTGCTTTAAATTTTTAAAAAGGAAAGTGGGCTTAAGTTTAATAATTTCAAAAGTACTTAAAATGCATGTCTCTGGAGCAATGCAATAACATAAATATGATTACTGATTTTAGAGAGCCATATATTCCTATATATTATCTTGGGCCATTTTGCATAAAGGGAACAAAAAATCATTTTTGTTTGATACAATGCTCACCTAAATTTCTAATAAATTATATGCTTAAAAATTTAAATCCCCTTATGTTGGGGCTAGACAAGCGTTAATTAAGGATATTATGTAGAATGATCAGGGTGCATGATATCTATTAAACTTCAAATATATAAAATTGTTATTTTCTCATTTGGGCATGTAGCATGAGTGTTGCAAAAGCACAACAACAACATCAAGCCTTTATCCCACTACGTGGGGTCGACTACATGAATCCTTTTTCTCCATTGTGTCCTATTAAAAGTCAAATTCTCATTTAAATCTAATAAAGAAATGTCATTCATAATATTTTCTAACCAAGTCTTTTTAGGTCTACCCCTACCTTTCTTAACATAAGTCAAATCTAATACTTCTACTCTCCTAACCGGGTCATCGAAAGGCCGCCGTTTTATGTCATCTAAGGCGACTCTCTCTAATCTTATATTCTACTGGAGCTACTACAACCTTTTCATGTATATGCTCATTAATTCGTATCCTATCTCTAAGGGTAAAGCCACTCATCCACCTGAGCATCCTCATCTCTGCCACACTTAACTTAGTATTATGCTTCTCTTTTAATGGCCAACATTCGGCACCATAAAGCATTGCAGGTCTAACTACCATCTTATAGAATTTTCCCTTAAGTTTGAGGGGTACATTTCTATCACATAACAAGCCAGATGCATTCCTCCACTTCAACCATCCAACTTGAATTCTGCTGATAATATCCCCATCTATTTCACCATCACTCTGAACAATTGATCCAAGATATCTAAAATGTGTACTCTTATTAATGACTCGATCGCCCAAAGTCACAATCCCTCACTAGGTCTATTACTACTAAAATTACACTCCATATATTCAAATTAATTTGACAAAATCAAGATAGGAAACAATGAAGTTTAAGATAACGAAGATAGAAGGTCAAAAATATTTGTGAAGAATGAATAAATAATACTTAGCAGGAAAGAATAAAAAAATTAAATTTATAAAATGGTCCACCTATAGGTTGATTAAGGTTAAGAAAGTTGATTAACATGGATGTGTATTAATTATTAAACTGTGCTAGTTGAGAACATAGAGAACAGTATAGCAGTTTGTAGGAGTTGTAGAAGACTTACTAAAAGTTCCCAAGTAAAGATCCTTATTGCCTGCCACCCTTCCTATTCTTGCTTGCCACCTTCCATGTTGGTGATGCCTGCGTCGAAAGAACAGGAGATTGTTTAAAGGAAATGCTCAACATGCATCTTTTGTGATAGAAAAGAGTGCTACTTTTACTCTTTTGTGATAGACAAATGAATCCATGATCCATGTTAAATTAACAATTTTGAATGAGGTTTCTATCAAGTATTTTATTGATTCTAAAACATCTAAATTTTAATTTGATATAATAAGAACAAGTTTACTTATAATTTATGTTGATATTTAAGGAGGAAATTAAAGTGAATTTTGATAAGAATAGCTCACAAAATTGAAAAATTTAGACTAATCTTTGTATGACTTATATTAATTATGGTTCTATTAGTATTTTTCATTTGAGTTTTGCTGATGACATTATTATCTTTAGCAATGGTTCTATCAAGAATGTGACAAAAGTTATATTATTTCCTCATGACTTTTGGTAGTAAAAGTGGGCTTAACTTTCATAAGAAAAAATACTCTTATATTCCCAGTAAAAGTATGACTCATAATAAAATAAATTTGATTACTTAGTTGACGAGATTCACTTAGCAATCTCTTACTCTGTAGTCTGTACTACTTTTGGTTACACTCCTTTACAAAGATAGAAATAAATAATTTCTTTTTGATATTCTTCATAATATTCAGGTCATACTTTCAGCTTGGGAGTTCAAGTTACTCTCGATGAGAAGGGGCCGGTAGACTCATGTTGATTAAAAGTGCTCTTTGTTTTATGTTTTTTTTTTATTTATGTCAAACTCTTTCCCCTTCTTTGCAGGGTTTAAATAAGTTGGATAATCTAGCTCCTTAACAGATTTTTCTGGAGTTCTTCTCAAGCCATGAAAAATATTCATTGGAGAGCTTGGAGGTATTGTACCGACCTTTATGATGAAGGTGGTCTGTATTGTAAATTCATCCCTGATTTGACTAATTATTTTTCTATTAAGCTTTGGTGAAAATTTTTCATTAACAAATCATTATGGGCTAATTACATGAACTAAAAATACTATGACAATATTAATCCTACTCAACATTTTTTTAATTAAGAAACGCCAATCCCTTGGTTGTTCTAGGATTTGTAAAGCAAAATGGTTTGGTGAGCAACAATTCATTTAATATTGGGGTATTGGTAATGGCCACTCTTATTTTTGGCAATAGGATTGGACGTACAGGAAATGGTTCTATTGGCTATATTCTCAATTCTAATTCATTGGTAAGTTTTAATTTTATTTTGAATGATAATTGAAATTTTAATCTCCTTCTTGAGCATGTTCCTTTTTCTACGGTTGTTCACATTTGTGATATACCTACCAATAATTTCATCAAAGATCAACCTATTTTTAAGTTTTCTATCGATGGTGAGTTATGCACTAAAGATTTTTGGAATTTTACCAAGGAAAAAAATGTAATTTCAATGAAGTTTTTCATAAAAATTGGAACTTTGTTATTCTTGCGAGTATATTTATCTTATCCTGGTGCGCCCTTAATAGATTCCTTCCTGTAGAAGGAAAGCTTCAGAAAAAAAGGTTTCTACATTACTTATAAATGTCAATGCTACTCTAATTTGGAGATTATTAAGTATATTTTAATAGATGGGCATATAGCTATCAATGTATAGTATTTCTTGGATAATGATTTGAGTATTAACATGAACTATATCAATACTAATTGTTATTCTCTTTGCTCGTTGGTTTCATAAAAAAGGTGATTGCTCATTTTTTAATTGTTGTTCTTATCGTTGTTATTTTTATTTGGATTAAGAGGAATAATTGCAAACATTGTGGACTTAAGATGAGTTCTGATAGAATCATTATTGCCCTTAAAGAATAAAATTCATAAATTTGTTTCTACCAATATGTTTCTTCCCATGCATTTCAAGGGCAACATGTATTGGAGATCCTTTTTCCAAGTCTCTTTTGATTTTGGTAATATTGATCTCTCCTCTAGAACTATTTTCTAGATGAATCCTTATTCGGCTTAGTTTAAATGAAATATTAATAATTTTGTTTCTAAGCTGGGGGCTGGTTGCGAAGGTACTGTTAGAGACCATTGTGGTGATTTAATTTTTTTGCATTTGCTTCTTACATTCTAGCTTGTCGTTATTATTACTGAGGCTAAGGCTTTACTTACGTACGGACTTTAAATTTGATTTAGATCACAATATATCTTTTTAAGATTTAGATTGAATATGAGTCTTTTTTGTTGGTTAATTAAATTTATTCTAAACACTTGTAGCAATACTAGTCTCTATTATCTTTTCAGGAATATCATGAACTTAATCAAGTTGATTATGTGATCACTCATATTTGGAGGGAAGGGAACAGACGTGCTGACTGACTTACAAAAAAAAAAAAAAGAGACTACCATATCCTCTACTAATTTATTTTATAATTTAAATGAGCTTCATGATTTGAGGGGTATAGTTATGCTGGATAAGCTGGGTATGACTTATTTTAGAAAATAGCTTATCTTTATTTCCTATTCTTGGGGTTTATTTTACATATCTCTTTTCTTCGTTTTATTTATGGATTGTTTGCTTTGTTATCTTTATCCTCTATTTTTCGGGTTTGTTTCCTAGCTATTGAGTAATTATGGTTTTTGGTTTATGGTTGGTGCAATTTGGTTAGTGATGGGTCGACAACTCCCGTCGACAATCCGGCGACCGTGTCCGAGCACAACTCCAAGAACTCTTTCATGGGAAAAAGAATCTACCACCTGAGAACAATCTCAGGATACATGAATGACATAACACACAACTCAAATTTGCCTATTACAAGTATTGGCTATATATTTTCCTATACTGAAAAAAATGATAGATGAAGCCCACTTTTCATCAATAGACTAATAATATCAATAGGAGAAAAAGCTACATACCTTGTAACCCCACGATAGATTGATGCACCACGAGAAAACCCACTGCTTTTTCTGCAACCAAAGTAATATGATAACAATTTCAAATGCAAAACCCTTAATACAATCCTTAATTGCACTCCATTAACATTATAATTATAAGCTTCGCATGGAAATAGCTTCAACGCATATTTACCTTCTAAGAGAGGCAACATATTCCTGCCTTGTCATGTGCTTCATTTCCTCGAGCTCCTTATCGTAATTGCTTACCTTAAAATTATATGGGGGCAAATCACATTAGAAATTTATTATATTTGCGAATTAAATTTTCTCTCCAAAAGAATATTTTGTTTGAGAATAAATAAACTAACTGGAAAATTAGTCGTTGTAGGTGGCCCCCAATATTTGAGTGCTGCCAAATCGTAAGCCCTCGCAGCCTTATCTTCTTTGTCATAACCACCTGTGCAAAAATCAAAATTAGAAATAATGCAAATTTAAAAAAAAAAAAAAAACAATAGGTATTTCAAAATTAAAGAGTCCAAAAAAAATTATTGCATGCAAATAAATCTGATTGTATATGCACTTACCCAAATAGACTGAATTCGTAAGCCAAGCACCAAAAGCATCGGAGTTGGGGAAATGCAGATAGTTAGTAAAATTATAGTCTGAAAATATATAATTATACGGAAAAAATAATATGCTAAGGGCATCTCCAATAGAGCGGCAAACTGTTGTTTGTCGTTCTTCCGTCGTTCACACTGAGCGGTAATTTTGATGTTATTTCATCACATGTGAACAATGCGATGCTAATACGTTAATATTGGCGTCGCATTGTTCACCTGTGATTTTTTTAATTCGAAAATTATATAAAATGAAGCATGTGAAAGAATATACTATGAATGTTCTTTTTTTATTGGTGTTAGAAAATGGAGTTCGGTTGGAAACAAAGTACTGTATTTTGATGTATTACTGTATTTTGGAGTGAAAAATGAGTTTTTTCGTTCGAGATGCCCTAAATAAGAGAATGCGGCTTTGAAATACAATCTACCTTGTCTACCCTTTCGGCTCTGCCCTTCTCTTCTGCAACTGTTGTCCCAAAGATGTGCCTCATATCTTCCAGTCCATCTATGCCTGAAAGCGTGCAAGATGTGAAGAAGAAAACTTAAAAGCCAAAATGGTATACACAATAAAAACTGACAAAAAGCAAGAAAAATCTATCTTCTTGAAGAACATGCACGCATTATAACAAAAACTATAGAATAGCAAGATTCAAAAATACAAATTATGTAAATCAGAAGACTAACCTAGTAACTCCCCGATAAATCGAAGTTCTTTGACCAAAAGTATCGATCGACTTCTTAGTAACTGCTTCCATCGCGCTTTGTCCCCCATAGCCTACCCTATCCGGCGACGCAGAGCTCTCCCCTCCTCCTCCTCGTTCACTACTAGTCGCCATTAACGTCAAAGCAGAGCTGGACTGGGAAGTCATGCTCATCGAGAGTGAAAGTCCCTGCGAGCTATTTTGACCTCCAAGCTTCCCAGCCACCACAACGGCGCCAGAACTCTTCTCCTCCCCTACATGCTGCGTCACCGGCTGGTTCCTCAACCAAGTCTTAATCATGGAGAGCCCTATAGAGCTTCCCACGTCGTTGCAGTCGGAGAACACATAGTCTTCAGAAGAGGAATGGCTTCCGAGAAAGTCTTCAAGCTTTGGTTCCTCGACTTCCATATGGTTATTCATTCGGTTACTGCTCGTACCAACTACCATGGAGAGATCAGAAGGGCTCCCTTTGAAGTCCAAACACTTTATGTTCCAATCTGCACAGAATGATAAAACATAGGAAGTCAGATTATTTTAGCCTTTTTTTTAAAAATGTTTGGTGGATTTCTATTTGGTTATTATGCAACCTTGGTTTTGTTGGTCGGTTCTATGGACTGCTTCCAAGATGTCAAAGGGAACATCTTCTCTTAGGGTTGAGACGCCAAGGGGCGGTTCTGAAGAGGAGTCGCCGGAAATGCAGAAGCAGTCAGCGGTAGAAGCATCGTCGCTGGGGATGAGTGTCTCATGTGGAGAGAGAGAAAAGGCTAACCAGTTGTTTATGGACGCCATGGAAGAAGATTAATTAGCGTTTAGGCTGTCGCAGTGACCAGTGGCAGTCGAGTGGATGCTATTAAAAGGTTAGTGATGTTTCAAATGCGTTAATGGTGAGATTTGATCGATGGAGGGATTTGGAGGGTCAGTTTGCCAAAGAGAGGGAGGGAGGGATAAAGTAAAGTGGAGAGAAGAATAGGAAAACTCAGGAGGAACTGAGATATCAAACATTTAAATAATATAAAACTAATCAATACCTTATATACACCATAATAGTTTCATCGATAAATTTCTTTTTTTTTTTTTTTCTTTTTCAAAATCTTATGTAGCATGCAAATAATGATATATTATTACTTATTTATTTCTATCATAAATAGCATCGTATGAGTTTTTGTGGTTAATCTATGTTGACTTTTTACATGTGAGAAATGCATCAAAATCTCAGTCTTTTCGTAAAGTGGAAAGTTAGTGATGTACGTAGTTTGACACTTGTTTTCTAAATGGGAAAAGAATAAAAGAGGGAATTTATTATAAATCACAAAAAACGTTAATAATTTTTTGTATGGTCAAATATAAATTTTGATAAATGGAACAATATAGAGATGTTTGGCACATGTGTGCAATGGTATGGTCTACATAAATATTATGATAATGAAGAGAATGATGTTGATTAGTTTACGGAGATATATAAGAATAAGATTTAAGTATTTTAATTAATTTTTTTTTTTAAAAAGTTGGAATAGTAATTTAAAATAATAATGAAAATATAAGAAAAGATTATTGAGTCACATTCTCATTCATTGATATATCATCAAAAAAATTATGTTGACCGGGCACAAATCTCAAAGCAAAAATAGAGTTAGAAACTTCAAAAAATAAATCAGAGATTATCTGAACTCATATTTTAGGAAACTTACAATCGAACTAAACATCTTGAAAATACGAACCCAACGACACCAATTTCGACTCAATCCGAGCTCAAATGAGTCCAAATTGAAGACCCAAAGCGCATTTGGAAGGTTTAATCCATAATTTTGATTATCAAACAATTTCCAAATGTGACATGCTTTTAGTCGAATCGAGCGCCTCGATGAGATGAATCCAACGAGCCAAGGATGACCAAATTTTGGTATCATTAAGACATTCAAATGCCTAATAAACTGTTATGATCAAGGGATTCAACATCGGCCGTCCATTCAAACCACTCCCAATTTACAATCGATCTTCCTCCTATTTACTGATCATGTTACTCTAAGAAATCTATAAATAGACCCCTCATTTCTCATAGAAAGGAACCCCTCATTTCTTCCAGTCTGTCTACTTTCGTCAGATTTCTACCCGACGCCAAAGTTCCGCCATTCATCGGACTTCTTCCCATCACTGGACTTTCAGCAAACTTCTTTCCGACGTCGGGCTTCTGCCCGTCGTCAAATTTTCTCCTGTCACTGGACTTCTGCCCGTCGCCGGACTTTCGTCGAACTTATACCCAATGCAAAACTTCCGCAAGTCAAATTTGCTAATGTTCTTTTAATCAGAAACATTCATATTAATCCAACTTGGTCACTTTGCAATTTATCATCATAATAGTCTATTATTTATAATCTGAATGCAAATTTTTCTTTAGTATTTGAACTTGCCTTTTTCATGGGGATTCTATTTTTTAGTTCAGATGGAAAATATCTATCAAGTGTTTAATTTGGTGAAAGGTGACCCTAAGTATTCCATGCTTACTAAAAACTTTTTCTTCCTTGTATGTTGTGCTTTAATCTATTTCATTTGAAGAGACCGCAATAGCAAAAATGCAAAATGTATGGTGCATGCCTCCTTTTCTTATTTCAATACCATTCTGATTATGGTGAAAAAATCCATCAGAGCTAAGATTAGTGGCTGAAAAATGCTGAATTCTTATTAAGTTTTGTTGGGTAACTTCTTTATATTTTGGTTTTGGCATTTCTCCCTGTTATGAGTACTGTTGTTTTTGGAGTTCTCGTTGATCTGCTGCTGCCTCCTATGTTGTTGTGGGTTACTGGAGCTTTTTGAATGGTTGGTTGTGCATTACTGAACGATGATGAGCCCTCCTTTCTGGATTCCTTAAACGATTAAGGCTTCGTTCTGGTAATAATGGAGGAATTCTGTCATGGCTTCCCAAGAGCTTTTTTGCATGAAGGTTTTTTAGCTTTATGAGGCCAACTAGCCTGTGTTTTTTTCACCTTTTTTGCTCTTGAATTTTTTGAGGTCCCTCATAACAACCTTAAGTTTTCTTATTTTGAACTTTTCTATGTCTTTCTTATTTCCTGTCTTCTTTAAGTCTTATTTTGTATTTCTTTTTCATCTCAATGAAGGTGGGGCTTGCCCTAATAATAATAGTAATAATAAAAGAGACAAAACAGTCTAATAAATATTCTACTCATCATCCTCTTAGCTCTCTCTCTCTCTCTCTCTCTCTCTTTTATTCATTACTGATTAGAAATCAATCCCGTTGAAGTTGATTCTTAACACACCAGCACATGCGCCTTCGCCTCCCCCTCTCCCGTTTATCCAACTCTTCTCTCTCTCTCTCTTCTGTACGTAATCAGCATTGGAGCAGGAAAGCAAAGTAATGAACAAGTAGATAGTTCTAAAAGGAAAAAAAGGTAGCGTAAAAGAGTAGAAGGGTTGGCGACCTGCACCCTGTAGGCAGACACGAGCCCTCGTCTTCCGGGTATTGTGGCTATTTCCTTCCCAACCAAGGCTGATTAATATTCTATTGTTTTACCCTAAGCACTCTCATAGGATCCTTCTTCAACAATCTTTCTTTATTCCTTTAACTATTCTCTCTCAAACAAACCATTAACAATTCCCTCATTCTCTCTCTCCTTCCAGTAATTATTCTGTGTGAACTTCAAATACTGTCCAGAGATCAATAAAAATACGACACGTCACTCGATACCGAGTACCAAGGCTCGGCATTGCTTGATATCATAGCTCGATACTGCTTGATATCAGATGATATGATACATTTTTATTGAGCTCGGACAGAATAATTTTTACTCTTCTTCTCCGTCTCCTCAGCCACGAGCCCAAGAGGCCGAAGAGGAAAGGGAAGCTGAGTGTACGTAGCGTCGTGGTTATCTTCGCAATGTGTGCAGGGCTCGCGGAAACTTTGACCGTCAAAGATGGGAATCATTAATGATGGTAAAACACATGGCCACCTCCACTTTATTACAAATATATTATATATTAAAGCCTGCTCTTCCACTGTAAATATAAATTAGCTTCTCGGTTATCTAATTGTAATCATACTTCAACTAACTATGGTTAAGATAAAAAAGCGGAATAATAACTCATGCTCCTCCAAAAAGCCAAAGCCAAGAACATTGAACCGAAACTCTGCCTCCCTTTTTCGTGCCAGACAAGACAAAAGACGTATTTTTCAAGTAAAAACTACAAATACACGCGTATCTACAGCTCCATCCGAAATCTGTTCCGTTACCCACCATCAAGTCCACACGCCCAACCGGTGAATTTGGACTAAGTGAGACTTAGGATTCGTTTGGGAGTTGGGACGGCTTTCTTCCTGCTCCTTAAAATATTTTTTTAATATAAAATTTTAAATTTTTGTACTAGAAAGCCGCTTTAAAAAGCAGGAAGACAGCCGTCCCAAATGAAGCATTAGTCGTGCATGCACTATAAAAAAAAAAGTCACTTAAACATTTTTTTTAATGGCTTCATTTGGGATAGTTTTTTTACTATTTTTTAATGTAATTTTTTATCACATAAATTTCTTAAGCTAAAAAATATTATACTAAAAAGATTACTTCAATAAATAATAAAAAAGTTGTACCAAATGAAACTTCTGCTCTTTAAAATAGTTTTTTAATACAAATTTAAATTTTTGTACTAGAAAGTCACTTTAAGAAGCAGGAAGACAGCCGTCCCAAATGAAGCATTAGTCGTGCATGCACTATAAAAAAAAAAGTCACTTAAACATTTTTTTTAATGGCTTCATTTGGGATAGTTTTTTTACTATTTTTTAATGTAATTTTTTATCACATAAATTTCTTAAGCTAAAAAATATTATACTAAAAAGATTACTTCAATAAATAATAAAGAAATTGTACCAAATGAAACTTATGTTTATATCATTGATAGCCCGATGTGCAAGAAATTAAGAGTATTTTCTTTTAATAATGAGTTTATTAAATGGAATTTATGTTTAGTTTATATTTCTATTGTGGTAAAATGAAAGCAAAAGAAAGCTATTTAATTGATACGCATAAAAATCATCTTGATCTGCCGTGAATCTCTATGTAAATATGACTTAGAAACTTACAAAATTAAATTTGGAGTCATTTGAACTACTATTTTAGTAAACTTATAGTCAAATTGATTTTATCAGGGAGATGAGCCCAACAACACATAATTTGATCCAATCTGAGCCCAAATAAGCCCATATCAAAGGACCAAAGCCTACCTGAACACTTCAGAGCATTAATTTGACAACAAAATGATATTCAAATACGATATGGTTCTAGTCAAATTGAGCGGCTTGCAATGAGCTCAAGATCACTCAATACTCACATCTATAAGGCACTTAAATGCTGAACAAACAATCTATGACCGAAGGAATCAATATGGACCTCCAATGGAATGCTTTCAACATTCCCTTGATCTTCTCCATATATTTTGAGGATGTCAATCCAAAAAATATATAAATAGACCATTCATTCTTCACATGAGGGGGAGGAGGAGGAGGAGGAGAGAAAGCACAAGAGATCTCTTGCATTCTCCACTCAACACTGCCATTATTCTTTTGAACCATCGATTGCGCCTAAACTTTCGCCTGTTCACCGACTATCATCGAAACTCTTCCTAGATGCTACCGACATCAAATCTCCTCTTAAATATTATCGCCTGCCGACTACTATCCTTTCAACCATAGTCGACCGCCGACTTTAATCCTTTTGAACACAGTCGCCCACTGACTACGATCCTACTGATCAAATAAATATGCCAACACTCTTTTAAGAACTGTTGCCATATAATATACTCTATACAATGTGTATTTTCTACATTGAGTTAGTACCCTCCTCAAAGGATGATTATTATTTGTGATAAATCATTAATGCTAGTGAATTCATTTCAATTGGGTCAGGTGTTGATCTCATTTTTGTATGAGATCATAGGGATCCATCCAGATTTCTACCCACTAATATGATGGTTGACAAGCATCCATGTGTCAATCATCTAGACTTTAATTCATGATTCAATTTATACTTCAATTTTTTCATTCCAGATGTTAATTTAAAATCCCAGACTTCAATCTTAAATCCATACCTCAGCTCAATCTTCAATCCAAACTTCAAATCCATACCCTATTCTAGACTTTCAATCCTGAACTTGTAAGGAATTTTTTTTTTTGATAAATTATCAAGATAATTTTATTGTGTATTTATTGCATATCAAAAGTGTATTGAATGTGTATTTAGAACTGAACTAATAATGTACAGTTTTTTTTGATAAGTTGTCAAGATAATTTCACTACATATTTACTTTGTATTAGTTGCATATTTACTATGTATCGAGTGTGCATTCATAACTGAACTTGTAAGGAATAAATTTTGTGATAAACTGTCAAGATAACTTCTTTGTGTATTTACTGTGTATCAATAGTGTATCGAATGTGCATTCAAAACCAAACGTTTAAGGAACAAAATTTTTTATAAATTGTTAAGATAACTTTACAATGTATTTATTATATATTAACTGCATCGTATAATTAAGAATACAATATTATATTATTGAAATGAATCAAACACATAGAAAAAAATAAATCACAATCTACAAAACATAAACGAACACAAGATTTATATGAAAAATCCAAATCTAGGATTTTTCCCCAGGGCAGAGAACGAACAGCAACACTGTCAAATCCCGTCAGCGAACGCTGCCCCCTTAGACCGCCGACATATCTGTGAAGCATACAAAAAAAAAAAGAAAATATTTATTTCAAGCTACAAATTTTTTTAACTTCAAGTCTTCCTCTTCCTCGACGTTTGCATACTACATTTCGAACTCTATACATCCTATGAACATATCATTTGCTCAAAGAATACGTCCTCCTCCAAATCAATCTTCATCTTCATCAATTTTCCTTTCTAACATGTATCAAACATTTATTGAGCTAAAATGCAAAATATTAGGAAACTTCCACAAGTTTTTTAATTTAAAAGAGGAGCGACAATCCTAAACCCTAAATTTGAACAAAAAACCTCTGAGCAAAGTCAGCCGGGCTGACAAGAGAAAAATAAAATACAAAACCCATATTGAATATCGACATATTCAATCCCATGTCACGATTTAATTGGAATCCAAACTCAGAGCTATATCCAGACTCCACACGTAATAATTTTTCTAAAAGGTGCCCATAAAGATTTTGATGCCTCACAACAAAACGAAAAACAGTGAAATTAAAAAAGAAGAAGAAGAGAATTCATAAAACTTAGCCCCAATGCTTTGATTAACGATCCCCATTATATAAAGACTACAGCGGATTTTCCAGGTTTGAAATGGTATGATATATCATTTCTGTTGCTCTGCTCATATTGAAGCATTTGTTAGATAGAATTTATCACCTTATATATTAAATTATCTCTGGATAGTTGAACTTTCACAGCACAATTGTCACACAAAAATGCAAGGTAAAGAGCTTTTAACATGGCCCAAACTGCCGAGAATTCCAATAATCAACAAGAAAATCATTCATTAGCTGGAAAATTTCATCCCCGACTTTTACTTTATTGCTCAAAACACTTCATTTTATGATTGCTATTAGTACATAATTGTAAAAGTCAGATGTCTAAAACAAACAGAGAAGTGCAATAAACTTATTTACAAACACTTTTTTGAAGGATGGCAAACACAAGAATATCGCCATATAATAGTACAAGCTGCACATAAGGCTAGGAGAAAGAAATTTAGGCTTTGTTTGGGACGGGCTTATTTACTACTTTTTAAAGCAGCTTTTGAGTACTAAAAAGTTGTTTTAAGGAGCAGTAAGAAAGCTGTCCCAAATGAAGCTTTAATTAAAAAAAAAAAAGGTTAGCAGTTGAATTATTTAACATGGAGATGAATTATTTAAGTTGAAGGACCTTATGCTACCTGTTTCAAAGCACAGTGTAGTCCCACTAGATATACCCCATAATCCTTCCATTATGGTGCACTGCAGGTCTTCGGAGGGTTTCCAATGTCTCTTTCTTTGGTTTATAAACCAGTTGTTTATTTGTTTTTGGTCAAGACCTGTAAACTCCACCAACTTCGCCTTCTCATCATCCTGTTAGGAGAATATTTTTTTTTTTTCCTTTTGTGATTCCTTGGATGCATTTTTACGTTCGTTTTTCTGCTTATAAAATAAAGCAAAATAGAAGAGGATGGAGATTACCGTTGGGTAGGGCCATTTGTAATGACTGTTCCACCAATCAAGCAATGTCAATCTTGCCTCTCTGGGAAGCTTTCCTTTCTTTTTCTTCTTTGAAAATTCCGTCCTCAGATTACAAAGATAGCCGCTGTACTTTCTAAAGAGGAACTCCTTCAACTCGATCTCAGGAGATCGAGAAGAAGAGACTTGATTTTCTAACGCATCAGCGTCATCATAACTTGGCACTTCTTCAGAGGATCCAACTGCTTCATCTGGTGGTCATCAGCAGATGAAATCGAATGAATCAACAAATAGGCTAACACCGATGAATATGTGTAATGAACTTGATCAAGCAAGGATAAAGTCAAATACAATATTATAGCTAGACAGTTTTTTGTGCACACTGAGAAAAAAGGTAGCCTGTAAGATCACCAATTTGCTCAAAAGGTTTTGGAGTCTTCCATATTATTACCAACTTCATTCTTTATATATATATACTCTTTTCACCTCATCTGTTTGTTGTGATTTGGTTCAGTATACTCATTTTTTTTTTTTTCTAGCGTAGAATTCTGCCACCCTAGAAGTTCTAGCCACAACAATCACATCCCCAACCCACAACATAATACTAGAGGAAGAGATGTAGCACAAGTATAAGAGAAAATGAATGGAAGATAAGGGTGAATTGAAGATACTGGTAATATTAGGATGTAATGAACCAAGCGTTCGAACGAGTTGCTCGTGACTTGGCAGGGGCTGGAAACCCGTCATGGTTTGAGGGGGGGGCAATTGCCCCCCCCCCCCCCTAAAAAAATTAATTTTTTTTTAATTATATGGCTTTTTTTAAGATTGGTTTTATAGAGTTTTGTACCGCCAATTGCCGCCCCCCCCCTAAAAAATAAATTACATGATTTGGGTTTGTTTTTGTTAGATATTGCCACCCCAGAAAAATTATACATACAATGTGGTGGAGGTGTTATTAATAAGATTTTTATTAGGCAATATTGCCTCTAAATACATTTAAAATACTATGGTTTTTAGGCATAATTGTCCAATACAAAGAGAAAATAGTAAAAGGAATCCAAAATATCCTTACACAACCAAAATTTTGTTCAGGGGGCAACTCCGCAGGGGCGGCTGCCCTTGACCCCTGACTTGACCAGGCAGGTCGAACCACCATCAGGGGGTGCTACCCTTTGGGACCTCCGACATATCTGAGAAGCGTACAAAGATCAAAAATATGAATACATAGAGGTCGAGCCAAATTCAAGGCAACACTCCAACATACATTTTAATAGAAATTGAATGATTAATCAATTACAAACAATTTAATTTTTTTTTTGCAAACAAATCATCCATACTTCAACCTATTTTGTTTAAGATTAATTCTAATTAATATATATTATATATTATATAATAATATATATCTTATATTACCTATAAGTTTGCCCCCCCTGAAAAATAAGGCCCCCCCTGTGACTCGGGTCGAGAAGAGCTCATTCATGTTTGCTTAATAAGCTAAACGAACAAGCTTGAACACTTTGATAAATACTCGATAGCCAGATAAACGAGCTTGATCAGCTTGTCATTTGGTTCGTTTATGTTCATGAATAGTATCATTTAAAACTCATGACCAAGCTCATTAAGAAGCTCGATTAAGGCTTGTGTTCGGCTTGAATTAGCTTGAAATAAATAAATAGTTTTAAAAAAGTAAATATTGTTGAATTAATTTAACCAATTTATTCATTTATTTTTAAATAAATGCTAACAATGACTAGAATGTTAATATTTGTAACTAAGAGAAAGGAAAGCTGCTGTACTAAGTTAGGGATCAAACGGTTACAACGGAATGAGGTAGTTATAAATCAAAGGTTGTGATATACTGTAAAGCTGCTATAGCAAAGCAGCTAAACGTTTCCCGTTTTTGGATGACCCGCTTGCAGCTCGCCTCTCCTTGCTCTCTATCCTCCGTGGAACGGATCAGCAAAACAAAAAAAAAAAGGTCAGAAGTTTAGTCCCACACCATTTTTTTAGTAATTTGGTTTTCTATGTAAAAGTAAAAATATATATGAACCGACAGCGAACTGAAAACAAACTATAATGAACTTAACGTGGATTTGAACAAACATAAAGGATTCAATTTGAACTTGCTAAGTGAATAATGACAAATTTGAACTTATATGAATTTGAATCCAAGCAAATGACAATGAAACGCAAGGGACCATGGTTGAACCTGGACTCGAGCTGAGCAAGGGACTTGACTTGAACAATTTGAACAAGGAACTTGAACGAATGAAAGGGACATGAAGTTAACTTGAATACAACGACGGGGACTCAAACTGGACTCGGACTTGAACAAACTATAAATGACATGAACTTGATTTGAATCCGATGAAAAAGACTTGCAAACAGAGACTTAAACAATGAACCAGATATTAGATCAACGAATGTGCAATCATAATATAAGCATTAAATGATAACATGATTATCAAAATAAAAGTTGACATGCAACTATACAATAGTGGGGATCATACTGAATAAAGTTCTAACATATGAATGAACTTCAACAATTAAGAATCAAATTTCTTGAAAATGTGAAAGATGCTAAGGAGGCTTGTAGTGCTAAATTACGTGCTAAGAGGAATCTTATGGATTTGTCCTTAGCATGGGGTGATGTTCCCGTATGTGGGTTGGAGTCTAAAATATATTACTTCTCGAATTCGACGAATGCTTGGAGTAACAAATTATTTCACCTTTTGGGTAACTTCACTTCCTCAAATCTTTGTATCTTCATAACACGCTGAAATTAAAATAGCTTGACAATAAATTTGGCAGAAATGACAAGGATTGTGTCCTTCCATCAATCCATCACTAGAGGTGCTACATATTAAGAAATTGGAAGCATTAGAAGATTGGTTTAATGAAGTAGTAGCAGATGAATGTCTGTTTCCTTTCTTAATCGAACTACGCCTAAAAGGCTGCCCAAATTTGCGAGAGTTACTCTTTTTGCCTCCTAATCTCAAGAAATTAAAGATAGATAGCATTGGGTGGAAAGCTTTGAATTGGAAACAATACACTAGCAACTGCCGCAATAATTCAAAATCTATTCTGCTCAAAACATTAAAGGTCCTTTGTTCAAACATCACTTCTCTCCCTCTGGTTGATGAAATAGCAAGATTTGTAGCATCCAACAACTTAATAATTACAAATTGCCACAATCTCATCTCTTAAAGGGCTATAAGAAGTGGAGTCAACTGAAAATTGTCAGTTCATACTTAGTAAACTCGTTATAAGTGGTCCATCCATGTTGCAAATGGTGTCATAGAGAAGTATTAACTTCACCCACAAGCTGAAGATCAAAGATAGTGACGAGCTAGTTTCATTTCTAATTGATGCAGAGCTATGGTTTTTGCAAGTTAACTCATCCCTTGGTTCTAAGTGTGCGAATGGTTACTCAATTATACAGTAGTCCATACAATCAGTGACAATAGATACTGCAATATGCATACAACATGCCTTTTGCAAGCAAGGGTGATGTGTTTTGCAATACATAAGAACCGCTACGGACCGCTGCAGAAGACCCACTATACACCTAATCTATTGTACACAGTCAAAACACAATGTGGATACTTCAAATATGAGTACCAACGGGCTGTTATAGGAGAGCCGTTACATGCATAACATGTGTTGTAGGAGACTCATCATGAGCTCAACACAGTACCTACAAGCGAAATTTAGCAAACCATCAACGAATACATAACTCACTTACAATGCTCCTACAATCAACCACCATTCAGGAGCCAGCAAATATGTAAATTCATTGCAAATGGAGGAAGACAATACGCAGCAGACACGAATTTCTACAAGTCATTGTAACCCATCAAATATATCCAAAAAAGCCCCCGCGCATGCACTGTAATATGTATTCACATAGGTACACATGAGGGGGCATTCTTATTTAAATCTAATAAAGAAATATCATTTTCTAATATTTTCTAACAAACACTTTTTAGGCCTATGATGTAGAACGGGAAGGAGGTTTTCAGTCTTATGGGTCTTGAAGAGCAACTCGTGAAGTTTAAACATCAGCTTTTGACACTTGGGAAATTCTGGACAGCAAGTAGCCAACCTGGGATAGCAATTCCGGACAGTTTCGGGCAGCCACGGTTGCTCCCAGAAGGGCTGGACAGCAACAAACTGCTGCAGGAATCTCTGGAAAGCAGCTGTGGCAGCAGTTTTGTCTTGTAGAAAACTTGGGAAAACCACTTGGAGGACTTGGGAAGGTCCTGGACAGCAACAGGAGGGTTCTGGCAGCAAAGTTCCTGGTTGTAAAATTTTTGGCCAGCAAACTTAGGGTGCAGGAAACACCAAACCGGGAGAAGAATAGGAGGAATTGGGAGAAGATAATCCAAGCAAAGCTGCTGGGTAGGAGGCGGTCAGGTAAGGCTAGGATTTGGGGATTATTTCCACTTTGCGGGGCTGATTTTGTGGCCAAATTAATGAGGTTTGAATTGTTTCCTAAGTGGAGATTTTGGGATTTAGGAAACAATTTCCTAATACCACCCTAGAGGAGCCGGCTGACGAATCAGCATAGGGGAGGTTGATGAGGTGGATTGAAATAGTCTTCTTATATGGGTATTGGGAAGTTGGAAAGGTTTTAATTAATCTCTTTGAATTTCAAATTCAAATTGATTAATTCAAGAACTTTCTAAATAGGTTTAGTTAAATTAGGAAAGAATTTTATAACTCAAATTGCTTTGAAGTTTGAAATTAATTCCAATTTAAGAGTGGACACTTATGGAAAGAATTCAATGTGTGATTTGCATTTTGGTGGGAGAAGATAGTAGAGAGGATGGAGTTTTTGTGGAGAATAATTTAAAACCCTTTCCTAATGGTCTCTTTAATTTAAGGAGACAGAAAAATTTCACCCAAATTAAGATTTTGAATTAATTTTATGAATGAGATTAATACTTTCCTAAAATAGTTTCTAATTTAGGAAACTATTTGAAATTCAAAAATTTGATTTCAAATGATGAAAATAATTTTTCTAAATAATTTGAACTCTTTAGGGTAAGCATTATGGGGTGGCATTCATCGGGATTGACGAAATGTTGGCCGGGTGGGCTTGGTTTGGGTGGGGCGATGGAGGAGCTAATGGAGAAAAGGGATTGGGTTGGTGGTCAGGCTGAGGTGAGCTTTGGTAGGAGGGGTTATGGGGGTGGCGGTTGGTGGTGGGGATGGTCGGAAGGAGGGGAACAGTGAAGAGGATGAAGAT